CCTATTTATTTCAGAACCCCCTTCCCCTCCCCCATTTCTGATGAAGGGTCTAGGCCCGAAACGTCAGCCTTCCTGCTCCTATGATGCTGCTTGGCCTGCTGTGTTCGTCCAGCTCCACACCTTGTTATCTCAGAACTTGCTGTGTGGCCGAATCAATGTTCTATACAGTTCCCAGCTCACCCTCCCGGCTCTTAAACTCTATACCTCGGCTATTAAAGGCAAGTATCCCATAGATTTCCTTAACCACTTTATCACCCTGTCCCAATCCCCTCAGGGACCGGGGAACACGCACACTGGTCTTTCTTTCTGTTGGCTAATGTAAACAATGTGAAATTGTTCATTACCTTTGGGCCACAGCTCCTTGAGACACTAAAACCAGAAGCAACACTAGGAACATCTCCCTGTCTGCGACAAGTCTGAGCTGAGGTGTAATCGCGTGTGAGCTGGAGAACAGAGGAGGAGAGAGAAACCAGGTTAGCAGCAAACCTTTCTGTGTTTCAAAGCTGAAGGTTGGCGAGTGTGAGCTACCAGATTCTGCAGCGGAACGGCCAAAGACGGCTCAGTTATATCTTTCTTTTTCAGTTTTTATCACCTCTTTCGGGACCTTACCCACCCCCCCCCAGCCCTGTCATTCCTTCAGATTTCTGTCTCCGTACTTTTGTCTGAACTGTTCAGGTGATTTCCATACGTCTCTGTTATCAACTCACACAGTCACAGCATCATTACAGTACAGCAGGAGGCCATTCAGCCTCTATCAGATCTCCCTCTCAGCCTCCTTCTCTCCGAGGGGAACAGTCCCATCTTCCCCAATCTATCCTCATCGCTGACATTACCCATCCCTGGAACCGTTGCTGTAAATCGCTTCTGCCCTCCCACTCCGATGGGTTCACATCTTTCCCATAATGTGGGGCCCACAACTGGACACTATACTCCAGCTGGGGGTCTAACACGGGTCTTGTACAAGTTCAGCACCACCTCCTTGCTCCTGTACTCTGTGCACCTGTTAATAAAGCTGAGGGCACTGTGTGTTTTATTCACTGCTCTCTCTCTACCTGTCCTGTCACCTTCAGTGATCTGTGCACAGAGACCCCCAGCTCCCCCTGCTCCTGCC